GCCTCTGAAGCCCTGACCACCTTCTTCGGCGCGGGTGAGGTCTTGGCGACCATTGCAGGAGGCTTTTTAAGCTCAGTGGGAGGGGAAGAAACTAAAGGAACCACTACAGGAGACTTGGGGGTAGGTGGAGCCTTCTTGAGAGAGTCCTTCTTTGAAGCCTTTTGAGGACGCTTCAGGTTGTCGCCCAACTTGACCTTAGCCTTCCTCTTCCCAGCAGAATTAGACGTCTGAGCGTCTTCCCTCATCTTAGCCAGCTTGGCCTTCACGGCATCAACTTCAAGGGCCATGATGTTCAGATCTGGAAAGAGAAATCTATAAAGTAAAAGTAAATCCAAAGCACATGACAAAGGTCTTACCAGCAAAGTCTTCCCCGCTGAGTGAAACTAGAGGTACGACCACTTCACCTCTCACCTTCAAAGATCCAAAGCGGTGTTTAGCAAGGGATGAAGGCGTAATAAGCCTAACATACTTCTTAGGTTGACACTCCTTGAGGTCTCTTAGAAGGAGCTTCTCGTCAACGTCAAGCTCAGGATGAATACCTGAAACAACAAAAAAAAAATATTAGCAATAGAAGGGAAAAGGAGAAATAAGATGAAGGGAAACCCAACTAAGGCACCTCAGCACGGTCTCACCTAAATTATTTGGGCCCGACCAAGCCTGAGGTACTGGAAGCATGTTGGAGGCATCCCTCAGGTTGAACTCCTATTCCTTGCCATAAAAAACAAAGAAATGGTTTTTTTCAACCTTTGTGGGATCTCGAAAAGTCAATGTTTAAATCTTGGGCCTTCACCCATTTTGAAATATAACAAAAAAACCCGTCAGCGGGGGTGAACTTGACATTAAAGAAATGCATAAGCAAAGGAACCAAATGGGGGATAGTCAAACCGTTTTTCTTGAAAAAGACCATAAGGCCTACCAGGATACCCTAGAAGTTGGGAGAAAGCTGAATTGGACAAATATTGAAGTGCTGAAAAATAGATTTCAGGAAAGGGTGTAAAGGAAATCTGAGACCGTTTTCAAAAGAAGCAAGTTTTCTTAAGAAGCACAGTGTCATATCGGTTGTCCACATTAGGACTCTAGACACACATGCCCTTAGGAAAGACAAATTTGAGAGTAAGTGCTCTCAGAAGAAGAAGGGTGACTTTGTTGGGTCCCAAGATGTCTGAGGCACTCAAATTGGCCTCAGCATCCTCAGTAGTGCTAGAGGTCCTAGCTACACCCTTCCTAGATTGTCTCTTTCAAGATTTCTTGGGCCTCGCAGCTAGGCCCAAAAGAAGCAGAGGAAACCCAACCCCAGCAGCCTAGGTATCAATGATGTCTGCCCCAGGGAAGTCATCTATTTCGTCTCCTATATCTCCCAAATCACCAAGTTCATCGGGATCTTCGATCCATCTGCTACGACGAGATCGGACTTTGATCTCGGGGGATCTATCAACCATGGCGAGGGAGACAGAAAAGCATGTGACCTCAGAAGAAGTAGACATGATGGCATAAGGAGAAAAGTGGCCAAAAGAATCATAACGAGAAGGTACATTCAAGAAACAATCCTCGAGTGCTCAAGGATCAAGACTCCAACGACAAAGAGGAAGACCCTAGCTGTGGCGTATGGATCTAAGAAAAAGGGAAGAAAGGACAAAGAACGACCCTAACTTCTAAAATAACAAAAATGAAAAGTCCAGAAGTGGAGTAACCACCTCGGATTCATGGGATCCAAGGTTGAACAAAAACCCTAGGAGAGAGAAGGAAAGAAAGGGGCAAGACAAAAAACCTAACTAAAAATTGAGACAAAAAACCTAACTAAAAATTGAGGACGATCAACGAGATATTTGAACGATTTGAGCACTCACTAAATCAGCCCGAATAGTAAGGAAGAGGAAGGAGATGAAATCGCAAGAGAGAAAGAGAGAGGGTTTCTAGGTAAAGGCACCAAAGGATTTGAAATAATGACAAAGGCTGGAATTGGGGGTCTTTTGGCGGTTTAGCTTGCAGAGGCATTTAAGGCATACTTACGATTGGACATGTGGCACATAGATATTGAATATGCATGATAAACGAGGCAAAAATGACTCATCCCACGTGTGCAATGCCGAAAATCCTAGAAATGTCCCACTGTGCGACTCTTAAGTATAAACCAAGCTAAGCTTGTCTACAACAACTCTAGTCATTCCCAATCCATGCTAGGTAGGGCTTACCTGGCTAGGGACTTGGGGGCAACTGATGATATCAAAAACAAGCTAAGGTTAAGCTCGAACCACTCAGCTCGGACATCTAAGCTCAGAAATTGCAGCTCACAACCACTAGGCCAGGGTTCATAAATCAAGAATCTTCAGCAACGAGTCTCTCGTGTACATGATGACAGCGAAAGCAGGCACCTTCCAAAAGGTCACGTCACACCTAGGAAATGTAACTGTAACTGTCAAATTTTCTAGCACATAGGTTACAACAACCTCAAGGGAAAGCACATTGATTACGCTACAAGGGCACTGGTTACGAGACGATTGCAAAGATCACGCAAGCCAATCACATAGGGCAACTATATACTATAAATAGAGAACAAATCTCTCACATTGGTAATCAAGTAATCATCTGTGAACCTACTCTGTGTAATCTATTTCCCCTAATCAATAGAAAGTCTCTGGCAGCAAAATACTACATTAGAGTGGATTAGACAAGCTTTCGAATTGGTGAATCACTACAAACTCTCTGTCCATTCATTTTTTTTTTATTGAATTGATAACCTAGTCCCTAAGAGCCTAAAAGCTCTGATTGGACATTCCAATGATTCCCAAATCCCCAAGTAGTTCGTCTTTGCTCAACTATGCAGAACACACTATCAGTACTTATTGTAGATATATTTTTAAGTGGTGTCCCTTACACAATGGAATATACTGCCTCTTCTACATAGGATATTCTGAGAGAAAAATTGCTATAGTTCCCAGGTACAAGTTGGTGTGGTTCAGTCAAACTATTCCATGTATGGACTTCATTCCTTGGCTTGCAATTAAAGAACAACTTAGTAGCAACGATAGATTAGTGGCATATGCACTGCATTTGGAGTCTAATTGTGTCTTTTGTACCCCTACATTCACAATGGAGTCTCATAATCACTTATTCTTTGACTCTAGGTATTTTATAGAGGTTTGTTATGATGTTATGTCTAAGTGTGGGGTCTATTTGGAGCCTATGCCATAGTAAAATTTCATTTCACAAGCTTATCAATGGAAGGGAAAGTTCAAAAGTGTTATGGTGAAGAAGCTTAATTTGCTTGGTAGCAAATGTATACATATGTCACGGGGGTCAAATTTCACTCGAATTTTCGGCCTCGTGATGGCACTAAGATTCAAACACTCAGTGCACACAATGAATAGAATATGGGCAAGCACATAACTCACAGTAGGTACGTACGAATTACAGGCCAAACGGCCAAACCTTTTACTTCTTAGCAAGCTTTAAAGGAAACCTAGCTATGGGTCTGCTTACAAAATGTGTCCAACTCTATTGGTTGCACTATAAACCCTAGCATGCCTATATATAGCATACAAAGTGGAAGTTATAAGCCCAACCTCCTAGGCAATGCAAAGTAATATTCAGATTTACCCACAAAGCTACCCACGACCTACTGACCATGGTTGAGTCCTCTGCCACTCCCATGTATGTTGATCATAACAAATGACAGTTACAACTGTTGGCTAACCCAGCCAGCAACTACCCACAACTATTGTACATGTTGTGTGTATATGTCAGCATCTCCTTCATGTTGTGCACATGCCAGCAACTGCACAAAAATGCCCTGCATGTCATGCACTTGCCAGCAACTGTCTAGAATTGCCACCATCTGTTAGGCACATGCCCAACTGTTTGGAACCGCCTCACATATTGTGCACGTGCCTTCCTTGCGAGCCCGCAACACTTGATTTGTCTTGCCTTCATGTCAAGTCATGCCCAGCCCATGGCTTGGTCTTCCAAGTTTGCCTTAACCCACAGTTCAAACTCATCGGCTAGCTTTACTTGCATGCTTGCTTGTGCCCATGCATGAGCTGTCTCCCCCAGCCATACATTGGGCTTCAATCAACCCACTGGTTGTGTCCAATCATACTCATGCATCAGTTGTCTTCCTCAACCACACATGGGGCTTCAATCAACCCACTGGTCATGCCTAAGGTGCTCATGCATGCTTTGCCTCCCTCAGTCATGCATAGGGCTTTTGCCAACGACAAGTCCCACTAATCATCGATCCTGCATCTCGAGTCTCGAACTTTGGAATGTCTTGCCTCCACTCATGAACAACATTTGTTGGGATCATGTCTTGCTTTCGTGTGACAAGGCTTAGGGGCATAAAGGTCCCTAAGGAAGTTGGCTTGGCACACCCTTCACGAAGCACCCCCCTCCCTCATAATAGTATTAGTGAGCAAAAACTTACTGACAACAATGGACATATTCTAAGCCGAGGAGTCGCAATGACTTGAGCCTAGGGCATAGTCGTTGCATGCCACTTGAGCCTTTGCCGAACCACTTTGTAATCCAACAAAACACAAGTCCAAGTCCTTAGGAAACCATCTTTTGTACTAAGGATTTACTTCACCAAGCAAAATCCAATTTGGCTAAGGCATAGGCGCCTTTGGGCGAGACAGTTCCATGTCAATGCCGAGCCAAAAGCTAAGGGGGTAATAACATACTACTTGTAGAGGGAAAGGAACTTCTAGAGAATTCAGTGCAACACAAGGGGACAGTTGAATGAGATTGGAATAACAGATAGGCGGCTCAAGGCTAGTTGCTCTTTTCATTATCAATTCGTAAACAACGATACTACTGCAAAGTACAATTCCAGATTTTGATGAAGGCATTGTCTTGCATATTCGATGATCGAAGAACCTTTGATTGGAACAAATTTCTTTTGTTACTTCTGAACTTGTAAATGATTCATTTTAAACCCTTAGTGTTTTCTCCATTTTCCCTCTAATTGTAATAGAACTTCACTCCAATCAATAAACTTCCTTGAGAAAAAAAGAATCAGAGACGCAGAGAGAGAGAGGACAGGGAAACCAGTCATCTGATCAACAAATGCATTCAAGCAAGTCCGTAGGTGTGTGTGCAGAGAGAATGAAGAGCTAAGAGCAGAGAGCTGGGGAAAAAGGCTTGGCACATATGCGATCCAGGATTATTATAAAGGCCATAATAAGCTGAAGATCGAAGACTGGTTGTACCATCAGACTGAAAACGTCGTCGCTCAACAAAAGAGTGGTGTTTGTGTTTACTACTGATCTCTTCCTAGCTATTTTTGCGACCACATCACCACTTGAGTTCTTGATCTTACAACTGCGCCTCATAAAGGACCCCTCTATACTGTAATCCGCGGGTGTCCGTCTCTGATCTCTCTCCACTGTACTACTACTACTACTGGATTCTCCAATGAAGACTTCTGCCTCACATGCCCTTTTGTGGATCATCAGAACAGACGACGAAGGCCTTCTCATTGTGAATACTCTACGTTTGGGACTCTTTCCACATTCGTCTCCTCCTCTATATCCATTCCACTGATATTGCATGCTGAATGTCTGAAAATTCAAAATAACAACATTTAAATAAACAAAATATATATAGCTACATTAACATTACCGCTCCAGGACAAGTCCAGATTCAGAAAATACCCGCTCAAACAATATGTGATCGTTTTTATATGTTCTTAAACTTTTTCTTAAAAGTGAGTGGAACTCCCAGACTTCGTAATTTTTAGTATGATTAGAAAAAACAAATTAACTTGAACTGGGTTGTATTTGATCTGAATGATCACTTCGCTAAGCCTACGCATGATGTTTCAGCACTCGAGCTAGCTAGATATATAGCAGATGTACACCTGTTGATTTTTATCCATGTACGTACGTACCCGAAATGATAAAAAGTAGAAAATTAATTAAATGAGGATGATGATTAGTGAGGGGTGTGTAGCGTACCTGGGGCTTTAAGGTTAGCAAAGCTTTCCCAGATCCGTCCATGAGGACAACCCCTGATCCACCCGCAACGCATCTACTCTTCCTTGTGTAGTTTTCTACCCGGAAAGTCAATCTGCCGCGTGGGTCAAAAACCGTAAACCCGTCAGTCCCTTGGAAACTCATGCTGGATCTTTTCCACACTGTGAGCACGGCCACGGATGGACTTGGGTGATCATGGTGAACGTCTTCACCAATACTCTTCCTCGTGGACGACAAATTATGGCCGCATCTAATAATCTCGGTTGGATGAATCTTGGACATGTTGGGGGGGTCCTTTCCTAATTCCTAGCTACCTAGTTTACAACTAGTTTCTTTGATTTCTGAAAGAAGTTTGAGAGGAGTGGGAACGATCTAAGGTTTTGAATTTAACGAGATGAGATGAGATGAGATCTCTAGTGAGAGATGAATTGCTGCTGGTAATGCTATTAATTTGACTCCTCAAATATTAGACAAGAATAGGTATATATTTGGCCCATATTTTACGTTGGAAACAAGGGTTTTAAAGGAGAGAGAGGGGTCGTAGTTGTGTGTCTATATCTATGTCTGGCTGTCACCATTGTATTGTTTAGTTTGGTGGTTAACATGATCACCTACGTAGGACCAGGCTTTATAATTAGTGCAACGTTATTGGAATTTAATTTATTGATCTAATATATTATAATTTTTGAATTGATTGTGAGACCCTCAAATATTAGAACTTGATATTAATCTAATGATTTTATTGAAATCACGTCATCATGTCAACAAATTATATTAAATTTTTAAATTTAAATAGTATTTATTCTTACAACAAAATCGATGACGTGATTTTTCTTTGCTTTATTCTCAAATAAAATTAAAAAAAAATCATTATGTCAAATCATCCCATAATCTATATATATACTTGATACAATAATATTACATTAACTAAATTTTTAGACCAAATCAAGAGTTCAAATGACATGACAGTTGACTTAAACCTTTTTATTTGATGTCTTGTCATTTGGGCTTTAATAAAGACTCTAAATAATCAATTGTCGTGTCATTTGAGCTCTTAATTTGGTCAGTATAACATTACTGTACTTGATATGGTTATGTCCATAGGAATATATATATATATATATATATATATATATATATATATATATATATATATATATTTCTTTACAAAATGGTAATACTATGCTGACCAAATATTAAGACCAAATTTAAAGCTCAAATAACATAGCAGCATATTATTTAGAGTCTTTATAGGGCTCTAAATGACATGACACCAAATAAAGAAGTCCAAGTCAGCTGTCATGTCATTTAAACTCCAAATTTGATTATAAAATTTAGTCAATGTAGTATTACTCTTTACAAAATTCTCCTCACATTAATTACCCGTTACAAGTTTCTTGAGGCACTGAATTGATGGGCATAGTTGGGAAACTATAGTGACTAAGCAGCTCCAAAATACCCTTTACAAAATCGAACTTTAAGTTACTCTAAAATTAAGAGAATTTTAGGGACTAAGTAGCTCCAAAATATCCATGCGGTTGATTGATTAAAGTTTCAAGTTTCTCGATATCGAACTTCATGTGGACAAATTGTCTCATGCGCTTTCAGTATCATAATTAATAGAAGAAAAATGCTACGTAGACCTTTTCTTTTCTTTTTCTTTTTTTTTTTGATCGAAACGGTAGGAATTGTATTAAAAAGATAAATCTAAGAGAAGAATGGTACTAAGAACATCAATATTTTCACAACAACTGGCTTTTGTAATCAACTGGTGTGCTATACAATTTCTTAAACATCTAACGGTAGACAATGAAGAAAAAATAAACGGACAAAGAACACACTTAACATCTACTACAATGGTGCCCAAAGGAGAGAAATCCTCAGAACTATCACCTATCATCTTCATCACCATAGTTGAATCACCTTGCAGCACAATCTTATCACACCCAATCTGATTGATCTAAGGACCTAATCAGGAGGCCTAATTTAATGTAGTCCTTAGATTAAAAGTGAGCTCTATTAAATATTAAAATTTACAACTAATTTAATAACTATATTGAATTAGGTCTCTATAACATTGCTATTAGTAGAATGATGGTTATCCCGGAAAATTTTGAGGAAGGCGAAAGATTTTGTTAATTGGTGTGATATAACTAGGATTGGGAGAGCTTATCCTAAGTCAATAGCTCTTGACTCATATATGTATAACTACCATCATTACAATTCAACAACATATAAAATTACTAGTTAGTGCACATGTGCATTACATGTTGTCTAGGTTGAAACATAATTTTTATTTTAGCGTTATAAGCTATATACTCTTCAAGTATGAGTCATGTTTTAACTAGGTTCTTGAAATTTCAAGTGAAGTAATCAAGTCATTAATGTTTTAATTGATTTTAATACCATAGTAATGTTTTCTAATTTTTTATTTTTGGTATTTTAAATTTAAAATTAAAATTTTGTTATTATATTGGACTGCTTGTAATTTACATAACTGAGTGGCTATTGTGGCTTGAGAGTGGGATGGATTTATACTTAGCACATATGCCCTTAGGAATCCATTAAACATTTAGATTTTATGACTTTTTGTAAATTCCACACTTTTATCTTTATACATGTATGTAGGTTTATATAGCAAGTTATTATTTCTTTTGAAATGATAATATGGAAAAATTCAAGGAAATAGTAGTTAAAAGTTATTTTAGCTTGCAAATATATGAATTGTTGTAATAGAACTTGTACCAACTTGGTTTAATGTACAAAAGTATGTTGTATAAGTTTGGGTTGAAATTGAAAAGGTTTAGAATGAATTGGAAATCAAGAAAGAAAGATTTGTAGAAAAATAGGCAAAATCTTCCGAAAAATTACTGAAAAACCTTTCGGAAAGTTAAGAGAAATGGTTGTCCAGTAGACAAAACCTTTCAGAATGTCGATACACGACCTTCTGGAAGGTTGATGAAAATGGTTGTCCAGTAAGACAAACCTTTCGGAAGGTTAATGAAAAGGTTTGTCGAATAGGCAAACCTTCGGGAAGGTCTTAGAAAAATCTAAAAATTTTAAGTCGCGAATAGCCGGCTTTCTTTTCAATATAAATACTTAAGGACAACTCCTTTAGTCTCATTTCAACACTCAAAATCCTAAGAGACCTTAAAGAGGAGTAAAGGAAGAGAAAAACACAAGATTAAAGGGGATTTCAACTTTAAGAAGATCAAAACCTGGTCTTTTCAAGATCATCAAGGTAGGGGTTTTTTTTTCATTCTTGTTCATTGAGTCTAGGACTTAATTATATGTATTCTTTTGACTTTAAATTTTATATACATGCTATGAAATTATCTTTCAATGGTCTTTTGCAACTATTAGCGGGTTTTAAACAAAGTTAGGGTTGAATACTCATGAAATCTCATTTTCTTGATATAAAACCCTAGTTTTCAAAAGAGATGGACTTTCTTCTTGATTCTTCCTTTATTCTTAACTTTAAAACTTTAGTGCTTGGTGTCGAGTAATAAAATGATGTTGTGATAATCTCTTGCTTATTTTCTTAAATGGTTCTCTTGTATTACAAATTATGAAATTGGGGAATTATGAAATTATTTGTTATTTGAGGAAATTGTTAGAATTGTATCTCTTGTATGGTTGTTGTGATGGACTTGAATTGCATTTGAGCACTGCCGTAGAGTGTTAGAGGTTAGTCTATCCCAGTGGGGGTGAGATGGTTTCCTAACACTTGTAGTGGTTTGTTAGTTGTAAGAGCAACCACTCTTGTTCACGTAAGTTCGAAGCTGAGGGTGAGAATACTTTTCCTGGGAAAGATTCGTCAATGCCGTGGGAGACGGTATACGCACTTCTTAAAGTGGTTTGTATGATAATGGTTGGGCGAACGAGGTAGAGTCGTGTAGATTCATGAGAAACAACCAACATATATGAGAACATATTTATTGTGTAGAATTGGTTTCCTACAAGAGGTTGTGGAGGTTTGTGACTCTACAAGAACATATGGAAAATGACTTATGGTTAGAAATGATTTATTGTTTGAAAAAAAAATTTACTGTTCATTTAAATTATTATTATTGTGTAAACTTAAAAATCTATTGAAATGTTCTTGTTTTCTTTCAAAAATTAATATATGATATTTGTAAAATGAGACCCGCTTGTTTTTCAATGCTTTCTAAACCATATATGAGTTTGGGAGAAGGTTGCTACAGAGCTTTGTGCTTACCCTCTACAAACAACATATTTTTCAGATTATGTGCTAGAGAAAGAGCTAGGAGTAGATGAACAAGCACATTGGGAAGCTCCTATAGAAGAAAACGTGGATCCTGAAGTGGACGTCTAGAATTATATTCTCTTTTGTTCTAGCCTATAGAATTTATTTTGAGACTATGTAAAGTCGATCCTTTTGAAATTCCGCTGCAAGTTAAATTTGATTCTTTTGTGATGTAATTATCATAGCATGACATATTCTTTTGGATATAATGGTCATGATTGATCTATGCTTTTGAGATGATATTGTAAATGTTATATTGGATGAATGAAATTTTTTTGAATGATGAAATTATTTAATTGCTCTCATACGATAAATGATTTTTAGTTTGTAATACCATCTAAGGTGGGTTTTGAAGCGTTACACTTTTTGTGTCCCTTCATTTGCTCCAAGTTCTTTTACTTTTATAATTTTGATTTGTAATAGCATACTATTTATCATATTTTTATCATCTTAAATGATAGGTGCAATTATACTTCCATCACGTAGAGAAAAAGAAGACTAGTGTCCATTAACTTTTTTATCTATATAATAAAACTGGACTATATTTAAATTTTATACCTCGTACATTAACCCCCCCCTCCCCCCAAAAAACCATCCCAACCAAACCCAACGGCTCCCCGGCACAACACAGTCTCTTCTCTCTGTCCTCTCAGTCTCTATCCCTCTCATCTCGGTCTCTTTTCTCTCAGTCTCCTCTCTCACACAGTCTATCACTCTACCATTGTCAGGCAGCGACAGACATCACTTCCCCAAATTCATGCCGAAGACAGGCGGTGACTTCCCCAAATTCATGCCTTCGTCTTCGAGTTCAAACGTTCTTCACAACGAGGCAGACATTACCGAGTTCTTCACAGCCACCGAGTTCTACAGCCACAACCACTGCCATTGGGAGGAAATCCCCCCATCCTTCTTCCCCTCACTCTATTTCTCTATCTCTCTCTGCCCCTCTACCAGCCCAGCCCCAAAATGCCCCAATTTTATGGGTGTACATGAAGTGTTCGTCAAAATGCCCCAATCACCACCGAGTTCGTTGCTCCATGATACAGTTAAGCTTTGGTTTATTGTTTATTGTTAACTCATTTTGGTTTATTGTTTATTGTTGCAGTCAAGCTTTGGTTTATTATGTGTTTGCTCCATGGTTCATTTTATTTTCCCTTGCGTATATTTGTAGAGGCAATCCGTTGTATATGTCTTTCTAATTGTCTGGGTTTTGTTTGATCTACGTGGGCATAGAAATGATTGTGGAGTTAAAGAACGACTTTGTCACTCAAGGCAGCTTCCTTATATTTCAACGTACTGTCAAAATGCCAATTTAAAAGGTGCTGAATTCGAGCAGCTGGAATGGTTAAAGTATGAGAGCCTACTTCTTTACTCAATTGTAGAACAATTTGTTCCTGTTTGTCCACACATCAAGTTGCCCTTGCTCTACAATCACAAGGGGAATTGATTTACCATATTTTGATGGAAGGAGTAAACTAGGTGGTTAGCCAGAATCTAGATACCTAGGCAGAGATAATATGCTTGGCTTTGAGGTAGTATTTATCATAAGTTACTTTTTGGACGCCCCTCAATTGTTGTTTGTAATTTTTGTTAGTGACTTTATCTATTTGGTTATCAAGAAAGTTATGCATGTTTGTCGCTCCTTAATTTCTTTTTGTAAGTTTTGTTAGTGACTTTATCTGTTTGGTTATCAAGAAAGTTATGCTTATGCATGTTTGTTCTTTAATTCAAAACAGTTAATATGATCTCTATCAACTATTTCATGCAAGAGCTTCCATTGTTCTGTTTCTCAGGACCATAGATCAATTGCAAGGTTTATTGGCTATGCCCTATGTCAGGATGCAAATTGGTTACCCACTGCGTAGGTGGAGAAGGAAAAGATGGTAATTGTTCTACTTCTTCAAATGTTAGGAGGAGATGTTATGTCACATGTCATTTCTATTTAGCTGTTTCTAACTTGAAGGACATCAGGGAGTTTCCATAGGTGCTAGAACCGGAAGCATTAGTCATATATTGGACGCGTCACAAATGATTTGTGAAAAGGTTGGTTTCTTTATAAGTTTGTCGGCCTGATGAACGGAAAAAGAAATCTGATGAATCATGCGTCTTCTTTGAGTTGGTCCATTTATATTGATGGCCTCAACTAGAGCCTTAAAAACAACATCTAAGGCTCCAGACCACGAGCAAGATAAGTGACAACTATCTGCTTTATGATCTCAGCGCGTTCGTCGGCTTAGTCCATTTTTCATCCTGCGAATACTGATCAACTTGGCAGCTGGTCATGTGAGCATGAAGTATGGATTCCAGGTATGTAAAAGTGCATCCACTGCTAATTTTTTTTTCCAGGAACATATGAGTGCTTATGGGATACATTGGTGGACATGCTGCAATATTCCCATGTGGGTGACTGTTCCTTTGGTTATCCCTGGGGCATATGTCATAACTTGAGATCGTATGTTGGAATTTTGTTGGGTGACTTATTGTGATTAATATATTTGTGATTAAAAAATATGTTAGGCGCCTTGAGCAAGTTAATGGTAACTTTTGATAATTCACAAGTTCATGGACCACATCGAGCTCTTTAGGTACTTGATCACTCTTCCTTTCTCTAGCTCTATGTGTTCATATTGAGCAGTTTCCTATATATTTGTTGTTGTGGTTTGTACATTTGCTTCTTGCTTTGATGGTTGTTTGCATGACAATGAATTGGTGCAATCACAAATGCCGCGGATTTTTTTTACTAATAGGTTTGAGGGCTTGAATTTTGTTGAACTAAGACATGCAATATGTTTGGTATTTAAAATAACTTAATATTGAATTGGATAAATCCTGATTCGACAAATCTCAATGTGGAGTTGTTTTAGGTGTGTCATATTTTTGGCTAAAATTATTTAATTAATTATGAATTTGATCATGCAGGTGTTGATGGGCAAAATGCTATGGGACTGAAACTTAAATTGTCATAGGCACGGGTTTTTTTTTTTCCCATCAATCTCCTTGAAAAAATTAAGACATGATTACATGGGGAAGTAAGATTTCTTTTAATTCATCTAATTATTGTAACATTGAAAGAAACTATTTGAAGCTTCTTCCTATATGAAATGCATTATTTCCTTTAGCTTTATAAGCTTTCTTCAATTGTATTTTAAAATAGAAATTTTTTTGTATTTCAAAGTATCTTCAATCATGGGTCAATCTTTGGTTGGACTTGCGTATATAACATGTGATTGTGACTTTTGTTATTAAGATATATATAAATGTTATTTTGGTTTGGATTGGGTAGTGACTAAAATATGACGATGTTTTTGAGTTGGGTTGACAATGCAATAGTGTGTGCTTGACAGTGATACAATATTAGCAATGTAGACCGGTTGAGATTTCTTCGAATTCTTATTTTCAAAGGAAATTTTGTCAAACTTTTTTGAAAAAATAACAAGGGCTCAATTTATTTCAATTTTTTAATTAAAACAAAAGAAAGAAAAATTATTTCAAATCAATGTAGCTTTTATACATTTGTTTGTTGTCTGCCGCGCGTGATGTAAAAACGTAGCTAGAAATTGATACTTCTTATGTAGCAAAAAAAGTAGCCAACGTGCATTACTATATGAAAGTTGTTTCGAGTAAAACAAGGGGAAAGTTGAATGAAATTGGAATAACAGATAGGCGGCTCAACGCTAAATAAAATACTGATTTAAGAGTTAATTAATCATGAACTTTGTTTAGTACTTCTAATTAATAGATCTCGTGTAACTAACCCACTCACTAATCACCTGTTGGTTTTGGGACTACTTTTCCTGAAAATAATACTCTAAAACATTACCGGTCCATAAAAAAGTTGATATAGTTTAAATATCATCGTATTCTAAAATAGTCTGTGTGGCTAATGAGCAAAGTGAAGTGTGAATCCAACGAAGCATGTACATAAATCTCATAATACTTAGAATTCACTAGCAATACTAATGTTTATTGTTCTTAACTACTTTTTTTCTTGTTTAATTATTCATAGTATTGCATGTTGACAACAGTATGTAAATAAAAAACAGACGTGCATCAAGGCTTTTTAGTAGAAAAATAAATTTAAAAAAATAAAATAAAATAAAAAGGCAAAAAGGCATAATCATCTATGTTTGCGTAGCATGTGTAACTACAGCATGAAGAGGTGTTCTATAGAGTGTGTGGATTGCATTAGGAGTGTGAGGTTATTGTATTGTATATATAGTGTGGAAATAGGGTAAGGGAAGTCTTTCTGATAGCTTCATAGATGGAGACATGGAATGGAATCGAGGCCCTTGTACACTAATCCGTTTGGTATGATGAAAAAATAAAAGGATGAAAAGTTGAAAAGATAAATAAAATATCATATTTGGTAAGGAAGAAAAATAAGAAAGATAGAAAAGTTGATGAATTAACTTTTCTTTCAACTCATCAAAATCAATCCCTCCAAAATCAGAAGAAAAATGAATAAAAAGTTAATTATTTGTGTTGAGATGTATCGTATTTATCTATATATTATATATACATTAATTTCATATAAAAATAGAATTATAAAATATTTATATATATATTTAAAAAAAATTAAAAATAAAATAAAATAAAAAATTTAAATAAGAAAAATATTTTTTTTATCTTAAGTAGGGGTGAAAATTTTTGACACAGCACAATGACATGACTTGAACTCGACACAAATTTTACGATACGAACTTGATTATAACTCGACACGAACTTAAAAATGACCTGACACGCGAACAAGAAATATAAAAGACTCATAATTTTATGACTCAACACGAATCTGAGACGACACGACTCGATTATCACCATTAATATTAGAGAAAAAAATTAGTCATTTTTATTTTTCATCCATTCAACAAAATACAAAGGAGGGAAAGTGTATCATTCATACTTTTCATTCTTGAAGGATAGAAAGTGTATCCATGTTACTTTTCATCCTTCCTACTTTCCATCATTTCTACCAAACGGAGCATAAAACACTGGCAATTATATTGTATCTCCTTGATTTTGTCTCCCCACTAAATAAGCTAAATGGAATTCCAGTGATGATTTTAAACAAAACACAAGAAATATGTATGGTGAGAATGAACTTGGATAGGGTCTCGATCAATACTATCAGAATCGGACCGGACCAGCCGGTCCAACTATGACCCGGGACCTTAATCGATTCGGTTCTCTAATCGAACCGCATAAGAAAGAGAACCGACTAAAAACTGAAAAATCGGCCATTTTTTTTTTTGAGAAAATCGAAAGCCGGCCGAAAAATGGGATTGGGGAATCAAGGCTAAGGCTTCATTGGTGTTCATGAAGGCTTTCTACATTGACTTTACACTTCAAGAGGTAGGTTTTTCTCCATAATTAGATTTATTTTCAAGGTAGGGTAATTATATGGAATTGGTAGGTTGTTAGAGGTTTTTAACACATGCATGTTGTTGTAAAATTGATGAAATAAGTATTGAAATTGGGTAAAATCAATTCTAGCTTGAATTAGTTATTAGAAATTATTAGGTTGTGATTTCTAGAAAGGTTGTGATATTTGGGCATGTTATATATTTTACATTATGCTTTGAGAATTAAGTGTGTTTATTGCTTGATTAGGTGATAACATGTTTGGGTGTTGTTGCTAGGTAAAATGTTGATATGTGTCTATTAATATATTGACATTGTGAAGAATTATGAGAATTATATGCTTGTGATATAATTTGTCATGAAATATGTTAATTTATGTTAAGATTGATCATATGGCATCTATTACATATTGAACATACCAATAAGTGTGGCAATGGTACATTACATTGCATATGCACAGAAACATCGCATTAGTTGTAGCTGTGTGCATGGATTGATCAAATACCACCTTTGGTGAATGATACATGGGTTCGGGATAGTTGGGCCAAGTCTCGATTGATTCACATGGTTTGTGTTGAAAATTGGGTTAGAGTTAGCAAAAAAGACTTGAAGATCCCTCGGGTACAAGGCCCGGTGATTGGAATACGCACTCCCTTGATTCACTCCATAAAGTGTGTGGGTATACGAGGAACCCTTGGTGGAAGTCCATGAATTTTGTACAGGTTGGGTGACCCTTGGTGTAAGTCCACGAATACCCACCCTAAGAAAGACCCTAGTTTTACAAATGTCATTTGATGTGTCACATAAATGACGGATTCATACACATTGGCATAACATGTGTTATAGGAGCTAGTAAGGGCTCGAGTTGATGTGCGTGAGTAAGTCTCATCTCATTTCATGGCATGACATTGTAAATTCCAACATTGAATGCATATTCTTGCTTGGGATGTCGAGAATTTTGTTGCATGTGAACATTTCATATGCATCTAGGTTGGGGAGTAGCCTCTTTAAGAGATACCCTATTGAGCGTGGCTCACCATTTATAAGAAAACATTTCAGATGTGGGATTAACATCCAGGGACAATCTGCATTTTGAGCCTCAAGAATGAAGAAAAGCATATTTGTGGCTTTCAAATCATGTTTTTGTAAAACCTTCATGAAAATTTGATTGTTGGCATGTAAATATATGAAATGATTGTAGTTGAATTTGTATGAAACATGTTTTATGGGAAGAACTTCATTAGACATGTAATTGATGGTTGTAGAGTGGATTGGATGAAAATGAAAATAAAAAACAAGTGAAACGGGCAAATCTAGGCAAAACATACTGAAAGATTATGAAAACCTATCAGAAGGTCGCCACATTTTTTTTTTGAATTGGAAATCCAGTGTACTCGTTCTTCCGAAAGGTTATGAAAACTTACCAGAAGGTTGTCACATCTTTTTTAAAAGATTTGAAATTCCAGTGTACTCGTTCTTCTGGAAGGTTTTCTCAAAACTTAAATTTTTTGAACTATTTCTCTAAGCGCTTGAACATTGTTTTCTCTTGATCAAAGGTGTTTTATGAGACATAAATGACTATAAATTAATGTATAAAGAATCACGGATGTGTGGGTACACTCCCAGTCAAGGGATGGTGTTGACGTAATGTCGGGTGATGCGACAGTCAAGGGGTACTTTCGCGGGTTGACTGGTAGTCAACGGCTAAAAAAGGATCCCTGGTTTTGGGAGCGTTACATAAGTAGTTAAGTCCACTATTTTTTTTAAATTCCAAAATACATTTTCTTGAAAATAATTTTAAATTAGTTTCCTAATTTGGGAATTATTATCCTATAATTTAGTATCCATGAAGATATGCCAATAAATTTGTTTTTGAATATTATCATTTTTTGTGTTTAAAT